ATCTAGCGATAATTGGAAGCTGACCACTCAAAAGTAAGATGACGTCAGCAGGTTTAGCATGACTCATTCCGGCGCTTCAGCATCCCAGAAATTGTAAACCAACAACGGCGTTATTGCGGCCTGACGGTCAAGAGGAACATCAGTACAGAACCGCGCAGGCGAACAACGTGCATTGCCAGGCAGCGATGGGTGATAAATGCATCCTCTTCAGGCCCGCAGCTAATGCAGCATTTGCATATTACGGGCGTTTGTTGCGCAAGCTCCTGGTGTCAAACTAAGTTTCATACGCTTCTAGTTTGGCTCTGATTTACATGCCAGATTGAGTGCTCGAGATACTTCATTAAGCAGGCCACTCTGACGCAGTTGCTAACACAAGCTGAGCCTGAACGTGCCAGGATGCTGAGGATCCACAATTTCCGCTCAATTTGCGTGAGGCTATGACCCGCCCAGCCCTCCATCCCACTCACAATAAAACCAATCCGCATGCGGAGGACCGGTGTTTCCGCCGGCGCCGAGCCTTACCCGACGTCGAGGCACCAGGCATGGCCGAGCCTTACCCGACGTCGAGGCACCAGGCATGGCCGAGCCTTACCCGACGTCGAGGCACCAGGCATGGCCGGGATGTCCCGCTCAAGAGCCGGCAGCGGGTCCGACTCGATCGCGGGAGCATCGCCGGTGACAAAGTTATGAATGACTTCTGATCGTACTACGTTTGCATGCTAACGTCGGTTCACGTTCTCAGAGCTTGACGGGCCAGATTGCGGGCCACGGCGGAGCGATCCGTGGGCGCACACACTCCGCACACATACAACACATGCACACATACGCACATGTACTCCACACACATACTACACATGCACATATACATGCCCACATACACACACATATCACACATGCAAACATGCTGCACATGCACACATACGCACATGTACTCCGCACACATACTACACATTCACATATACATGCCCACATACACACACATATCACACATGCAAACATACCGCACATGCGCATATACGCACACACTCCGCACACATATTACACATGCACATATACATGCCCACATGCGCACACATATCACACATGCAGACATACCACGCATGCGCATATATGCACACACTACGCACACGTACTATACATGGGCACATACGCAAATAAATTCCGCAAACATACTACGCATGCACACATACGCACACACATCACACATACCACACATGCACACATTCGCACACATACCACGTGCACACATACGCCAACACACACCACACGTGCACTGATACGCACACACACGCACATATACCACACATGCACACACACACACACACACATACTACGCATGCACACATACACTCATATACCACACATACACACATACGCACACATGACAGTTATATGTTCACCTGGCAGGATAAACACTGGTTCGTCGGTACTAGGTCAACGACATCCTTCGTTTCGACTTCTATACGCTCCCTTAGTGCTGTCGTGGTTGGAACTATAGGCAGAAAAAATAAATGGGCAAAATGAGCCAGATTTCATAATGTCCCACACTCACACGTGGCGTCATTCCGCTGATAATTTTGATTTCGCGTTATCGATTCTGACTCCGAATCACAGTAAATGAGATCGACGTCGGCTCTGACTCAGAGTAACACAGCCCAATTTTCCGTTCGCTTTGATTTTGGCAAGATGAACGACGACGTTTCCCTTCAGCAATCAATCTGGATGGAGCTAACCCGGGTAGCACGAGTTTGCTACAACAATGGCTCTTCAGCTACATAAAGACATGGTGAGAACATGCTTTCTGTCCGATCGGAACAGGACATGATGTGCCACATAAGCCGTGCATTCTATGTCTGTAAAGACTTCAGTGCTGATTGCAACGACTTTTCTGCTTATCAAATCGCTTTTGATCTGGCAAATGTATCCGGACGTTTAAAGGTAGCGATAAAACGCTGCCGATTTCGGAATTCCTAACATACCACAAACACTTCCAAGCGTTCACCGCAACACCCTGTGCGATTCTTGGGTCGTATTCAGACTTTCGCCACTGATGGCAAAGTGTTTTGCCCCCATCACTACAGTTAGTGTGAGGGATTGTGACGGCACATAACGATAGTGTCGCGATCCGTGTGACATGTTAGAACGCCAGACGTCTACACTACCACCAGTGTGAGATGGGGCGACGTTCAACAGCGTTTGCGACACACACGAAGTCCAGGTCCAGGAGCGATATTTCTAGCCATGCGAAAGGCTAGACAGCCGCGTAAATTGGCTGTTCAGCCTTCAACTGGCCAACTTTGGCCTGAACTTTGAATGTCGCACCAGTCAGTGACGTCAGAGTCGATGCCAACATCGGATAGCACCCACAGCCATTGCATGCGTCTAGTTGAAGACGGTTGCCGAATGAGACTGCACTACAATGGCGACGCGGAGGGGAGGGGGGGGGGGGGGAGAGTGAGGGCAGCACAGACAAACGCCAACACACATATACACATGCTGACCTGGCAGAATATAAGATGGGCCGGTATCTCCGTCTTCCGATGAGTCAAAACCATCTTCAGTTTTGTGATCTACACACCCCTGAGGGTTAAGCATACCCGTCACTGTACACAAAACAAGGAATCAGTTACTGAGATGCAATGTCCTATGGTTCTCGGTCTCTGCTCTCGGAAAAGAAAAGGACTGATCGGCAGCTTCACACAAACCTGTGTGAAAGGACTGATAGGCAGCTTCACACGGGCCGGTGTGAAAGGAAACGAACAATCACAGTGGCAGCACGTTTGGATGATTTTTTTTCTGTACAACATGGGACTAATATCAAATGTTACTGCTGTTGGTGACCTTCCCCTTAACATGCTTCAGTGTTCTCCCCCTCCCCCTCAACCCCTCACTAACAAACACTGATAAACTGTGCTTTTCCAAGCACACCCTAAGCCAATGGCATGTACACTCCCCACAACACTAATTACGTACAACCGTGCCCAGGCCTGGCATGCTCCCCACACAATGCTCATTGTCAACAGCATACACCCAAGGTACATGTATACCCACAACAACTGTGCTTGGGCCTCACATGATCCCAATGCAATGCTCCTGAGGGCTGGCCCTAGACTATATTATGCCTGGAGGGAAAATAAGAGGAAGGAGAGCCCCCTGGTCAGCACGCCTCCGCGCTCCCCCAAACACTGAGCCGAGGCAGCTCCCCAGGTCGTGTTGCCGGTGACTCGCGGCTCCTTCTCCCGCTTACATGCATGTCGGCCCACGCCACCAGACCAGGGCTGTCGCCCGAGCCGGCTCCGGGGTCAGCACGCCTCCCAGCTCTGCCGACTGGTGCCCACGCTCCAGACGCGTCACTCGGGACTCAGATGTGGCATCGCCGCGCCTGAACACGCGTGCTGAGAGGTGTCGATGTTCACGACATTTCAGCCGAATATCCCGCGCTTTTGATCGCGATGGACACCATTGCTTGCTGCAGTTAAGTAGCCCAGGGTCGTTTTAGGGTCAAATTGTGGTGCTTCGCCGTGCCAGCCTCAATATATGTAGAACTGCGGTTCGAATAATTGCCCGCAATTCCGTCCCCGCCTGGTGTGCTAGTCAAGGGGGAGGGGGGGGGAGGGGCTCCGACCATCCACCAGCCAAAGCTGACTTGGCCCCCTCCCCCCTCAATGGATATGACCAAAAACGGAATACTCGACCAAAGAAGTGCAAACAAATTGTCTTAGCTATCTTCTACCAAAAAACATCCTATACGTATCCAATGGTTTTGCCATACCAACCCCCTCATATTTATGCCTGTCTGCAACTGATTTCACATGCCAGTACTTGAATTGGGGAAAGCATAATTTACTGTGACATGCGGCGGCCATAAGAAGTACAGCCCGGCTCAGATAACATGTAGCTCGTGAACGTTTTACGTCCTGCCATTAAAAGGTCCTTCGAACGCCACCGCAGTTTGAACGCTATTGGAATCACCACCAAATTCAACACAAGAACTTAATTCAGAGACATTTCTGCTTGAACTACACCCGCTTCTAAGCTGTCCATAAAAATTGCAACTTGCATTGCCTGGAAATTTGAAGTCGAAGTCTTTCGCGGAAACGTAATGTCGTCATCGGCATTTTGCTTTTACATTCAGCCCCGGGGACGCCAACTGAAGTGACCGAAATCCGAGGAGAAATCATCTTAGATGTAGCTTAAGCCACCTTATGGACTCAGCCCCTCTCCCGAACGGTCGTAGGGAGTGACACCCCCGACGTTAGTGAGGTAACGTCTCGCCCAGGGACTGTCCGGCCGTCGCCAGCTGTTATGGAGTCCTGAGAACGGCTGAACTCGAATGGGGGGGACCCATCAGGACGTTATAGAGCACTGGACCCGCAATCGAAAAGACCCTGGTTCAACTCTCAGCGATGCTAAGGAGATCATTTGGGCTGTGATGCGGACGTGGCGGCAGCCAAGCGTCATTCAGTCCTTCTCAGGACTTCAAGGCGCCTGCCGACGACCAGAGAGTTAACTGGCCGAAACGCTGTGTAACGACACGCCAAACGAGAACGACACTCCGAATTCATCCGTGATGTCAATGTCTCGTCTCAATCCTTTATTACGCCCGAACATGTACAACCATTGTGAAATACGACGCAGGCGCCCACATGACTGTGTGAAGCTGAGAACAAATCCGTCAGCGATAACAAATGAACGGCACGGTTCAGTGCTACACCAGGCAGGACGGAAGTGAGCCTATCTAGCCTCAGGCACGCACCGCTAGTGTATCAGTCTCCATAGGAGCAGCACGCCACCGGCCGGGGCGTGCCGACGCGTAGCTGCGTCCCACAGGCGACCATGGGGGTAACCACTAGGAAGAGTGCGGTTAGTCCTCTCTAGCCTTCACAAAGCGGCATTCTGTCCCACAGGTTTGCACAAATGATCGTGTGTCACGCTTGCCCAGTGAAAATATCATCTTGAGGTCCGGTTGTTCACTCCAGATTCCAGTTTATTTACCCCCCCCCCCCCCCCCCCCAGCTATGGTTCGCACCTTTATCTTAGAGACGTGGTGGCACCCATGAGTGTACTCGCGTGGATGCGAGTGACCTTTGGTACATCAAGTAAGCTATGACTTCTGCGCATGTCAGATTGCTCTCGGAGCTGCAGGCATGCGCTGGTAAAGCACGCGCCGCGACACGCATCGGAGTGAGGTCCCTTGGAGGGAGATGGGCTGGGATCCCGGGCTCCCAGGCCCCTGTCGGTACCCGAACCCGTGTGGCAGCCACTCGCCGGCCACCGCAGCAGGTCAGTCCACGGACGGAGCTACGACCGACAGTGCGAGCCGTCGTTCCACCAGCGGCGCAGGTCGTCGTACCGCGCCGGCACCGGCCCGTCCGGCTGCAGCATCCGTGCGCACAGGCGACACCAGCCCTCTACCGGGCGCACCGTGAAGCTGTCGCGCCAGGCAGTGAGGCGCGCCAACGCCGACGCGTTTCGCGCCAGGTGGTGCAGGTGCGCGGCCAGCTCCCGTGGGCCAGCAAAGTCGTCCACGTGCACGAACGAGTCGGGCGGCGCGACGGCGGCGTACGAGGCGCGCGGCGCGCCGCGCACCACCGGCACGAGGCCGACCTGCAGCGCATGGAACAGCTTCTCGGTGATGTAGTCCTGGCACAGCGAGTTCTCGAACGCCAGAAGGAAGGTGTAGTTGCCGACCAGCTCGCGGAAGCAGGTCAGCGTGTCGCGCCGCTTTGCGGGATCGCCGCACTCCCGCGTGCCGCACGCGCCGAACACGTGCACCGGCAGGTAGCGCTGGAGCTTAGCCACATACTGCTCTCGGCGGCTGGGCGTGGTGCAGTGTGACACCAACCAGGCGACGGTCGGCTCCGGCCCGGCCGGCAGCGTCGGCGCGCCGCTCGCTGTCGGTCCGGCCGCCGCTGCAGGCGCGACCGTTGCCGAGCGGTTGCGGCGGATGACCTCGAAGTACGGAAACACAACGTCCGAGTCGAGCCGGTACGTCATGGTGAGGTTGAAGACCGAGTTGAGGGCGCCGAACGCCATGTTCAGCATCGGCGGCGACTCGAGGGACCAGAACACATACAGCTGGTCGACCGTCCGCTCAGGAGGCACGTCCCACATGCTGATGTCGGCGCCGTGGAAGAGCACCGCTCGCGCCCGCGACAGGTAGCGCCGGTCATTGGTGCCCACGCAGTTGTTGACCTGTAAATATGGGGAGGTCATGTAAGAATGTACGGACATTCGAAACCAAGCGCGACATATCCAACAAGGATAATCAACTAATAGACCTGTTTCCAGTGTTATACTTTGGCCACCACGAGAGCCTAACCAACGACACAAATTTATGGTATGCGGGGGTCTCTGTCGTAAAAACAATATCAGAGACCCATCGCATAGTAAAAACGTCACCGGTGGAAGCTCTACCTTTACTTTAAGTGACCGTTAAATGTAAATGGTCAAATTTCCTCGCAAGAAACGCAAGCTCACGCTTAAGCTAGCCCAAATGAGCGTGATCCTGCCTGTCGTCACCTGCACACACACACACACACACACACACACACACACACGCACACGCACACGCACACGCACACGCACACGCACACGCACACACGCACACGCACACGCACACGCACACGCACACGCACACGCACACGCACACGCACACGCACACGCGCGCGCGCGCACGCGTACGCACGCGCACGCACGCACACACACACACACACACACACACACACACACACACACACACACACACACACACACACACACACACACACACACATGGCAGCTCACAGCACATACACCAACATGCATCGCATGACGCGGTGTGCGTCACCGCCTTACAAATCTCGCCGGTTGTCCTTTCACGTACGAGACAGTCTCGTAACGCGGCTGGTAAGCTAAAAATTACACCTCGTAAAGCTAAGACGTACTGGACAGTGCGCGAATGGCTTCATGCCGTAGCCATTAAAAGCGGCGTCGTGGAAGGCCGGCGTCCAGTAGAGGACCAGACTGGCATTCTCCAGGTCGCTGGACAGCTCCGGTGCCCGATAAAACCACTGGTGCCAGTAGCGGTTTTGCACCAGCCACCCCACTGCCATGAAGTGGGGCTCCAGAGAGTCGTAGAACACATATATGAGACAGGCTGGTACCAGCAGCAGCAGCAAGAGACGCCGCCATCGTCTGCCCAGCACGTGCGCAGCCCTGTGAGAACCTGAAATACAGAGCGTCATACTCTCTCGAATAGCACCAGCACGTGTCGATGGCAGCGATACCTTGGAATAAGATGAGACGAGAACATGCAGACAATGCAACGAAACTGCCACGGGTGCTGAAGTTCGGACGTTAACAAGTCAGCTAGTCGGCAAGTCAGTTAAGAGTCAACAAGGCAAGAAGTTTAAGCCGACAGAGAGATGTGAAGAGTCAAGAGAAAGACGCTTAGGGTCAACAAGGCAAGAAGTTTTGCTTCATGCAACAGAGAAGACCTTTACTGACAGAGAAAGCCTGTATAAGCGGGGATCATTTCGGAAGACAAAACCAGCCGCCCGCTTACCGGCCCAAGGGCTTCGGTGCGTCCGCTTCTCTCAAGGTTTCTCTAGGATATCTTGGAACCATGAATTTCAGGATGCTAAGATTTTTTGTGACCAATTTAAACTTTTTCGAATATCCTGCAAACATTGAAAGATTCTTCTTCCCAAAGGCGACGGATAATGATCGCTTTATGGGCGTCACGCCAGCTGTAATTGGCGTTCATCTGGTTCAGAGCATCTGGCTCAAAGACATCTGGCTCATAGCAGAGACGCCTGGTTCATAACACAAATATCTGGTTACAACATTAGTGACAGACGTACCGCCCACAGTCAGAGAGCACGTGACAGACACAGCACGTGACAGACGTGCCGTGAGCTGTCACCCAACACGTGCCGTGAGCTGTCGGGCGCGTTTGGAAAAAGAACAAGGCAACCAGATTCCTCGCCACCGTGAATGTTGGATTTCGCATGTCCAAGTAGATCTAAGATTGATTGATATCTCCTGGCATTGTCAGAGGGCTCAGGCAAAGTGAGCGGATCTCCGACACTTCAGGTCCAGCCCCTGTCGCTATCCGTCGTCAGCATATGCTTCCCTGGCCAAGCTCCATGGGACCTCCTCAGCAAATGCGCCTACTTAAGTGCTGGTGGATTATCACGATCGACGCGCGTTCGAAGCTCGAAAATGTTGAAAAAATGCCGCGTCTTCTACCCACGTTTTGTCACTGGACTGCCGACGCCCACCGAGTCACGGAACACCTACCCCCTCGTTACGGAGTTCGCGCGTGTCACCCAAGTCACGGGCCCGTTGCTCTGTGGTTGGCCATTCGCCGCGCTCCGAAAAGATAGGCTTTGCTCACACAGGTAACATTCGGTCGATGTTACCGCCGCGGCAGGTGCGATAGGCAGGATGACGTAGAAGGGCATTCGTCCAATGAGAGATCGATTAGCGGCGGCGCAGCAGGTGCGACAGGCAGAATGACGTAGAAAGGCATTCGTCCAATGAGAGATCGGTTAGCGGCTGCGCGGCAGGCGCTCAATGCTGAAGGCCATTACGCCCCCGCCCGCGGCCCCCAGCGCCTGCTTATACGGGACACTTAGTGTCCTGACACGCAGGCCCGCATCGATCAGGAGCCAGGGGGGCCAGAGACCTGATGCGGCAGGCCCTCTGGCCAGGGCATCTGACACCGGATTGATGACTGATGATGACTGATGACTTCCGCTGACTGATGCGGAAGGATCCCTCACCGGCGCAGGGATTTCAGTAATTGGCACCGATACACCGATTTGGCTTATAAGTCCCACGTCGAAGCGGTATGGAGGTCTCCGCGCTTGGTTCTGGGGCCTCTGACTGACACAGGGCCTCTCCTATGGATGAGAACCTTGGCATCGTCATTTCTCAAATCTCATTTAAGTGTGTCAAGATGCCCACAACCAACGCAAGAGACGCTTTGAAATAAGGGGTCCGATCTCTGTTCGTATTCAGAAAATGTGCCTCTGGCAGACCTGAGGCTCATTGCCGTTACAAGGCGCCTTTTAAAAGGGAGCATGCCATCTTTGTGTTTTTCACGCACTGTTAGATCAGACGCGTCTAACTTGATCGAGATTATCGCTTCTCTTGAAATCCTTCTGAAAAGCTTATAATTTTTGTTTGAAGCAGTCGCTCCGGCGAGAAAAGTGTCATTGGACTCCCTGTTCACCACTATGAAGATAGTACTTTCCATTTGCCTTGCTTTTTCCATGGTGCGTGCTCGGTAATGTCTACAATACACTAATTCATCTTAAGTTTGTCTAATGCATTCTAAATAAGCTTGAAACACGACAGCGTAAATTGTAAAGAAAGTAATGGAAATAATCATCCTCAGTACATCTTGATGGTGCCGCAATGACACTACCCAGTGTTTTTAGTAAACGCAACTGGCCCTGAGATTTCACCACAGAATGTTTCTAAAATCTGTTGCAAAGGTGGGAGACTCCCTCTAAACGCTGTGGGCCCTGTCTAGCACAAGGGGCCCTGCACCACGGCAGGGGCCTAACCGACGCAGGAGGCCTCCTGATTGGCCTTTGCAGCCGCCAGTCAGAAGGCAGCGACGAGATCTTGTCACTGCTTAGGAAAGATGCCGCCAGGGCGCAGCTGGGCACGGAGCTGACACTTTGATATTGATAGCCTCAGTCAGCTGACTGGGATAGAGGCCCTCAATGTCCCTGAGGGCCTCCAATCGGTACAAGAGATACTCTGACCGACTCTGAGGGCCTGACCTTCGGACTGGGATGCTTTTATATGGTCTCCGGCCAGACCTTTGGATCTTCCAATGGGGTCCTTCGTCGTCGGCCACAATGAGCTCAAAGGGCTTCTTGAGATCTTCGGACATCCGGACCAAAGGGCGGGCTACGTTCTCCTGCTGCCCCTCCCCCCCCCCCCCCCAGTGTGCGCCTCTGATAGTGACGTTCTTGGAACTTGAATTCATAGTCAAGAATACAGATTTGGGGGCATTTTTGGTGTCCCTGGAATTCATGGTCATATTAAAATGAAGGTATTAGCGCCATTCATGGTGCCGCCTGTAATTGTGTGTCTCTTGAAAATAAAAGCCACAATGCCCCAAAATGGAGCTTTTGGCTCTTTGATAACCCTTCGCCGAAGGGGTTTATCCGGGACTTTATCATAGTGGAAGGAAAACCAATTGTAGTGCAACCCGGATTTTGGTGCTCTCGGAAAATGCAAGTTTCGAGGAACTTTCAATAACTACCTTCAATTTGGCCTCCTATATGTATATATATAGTATATATATATATATATATATATATATATATATATATATATATATATATATAAATGCTACCTACTCTTTGTCTTAACATGAAATGACAGGAATGCAAGGATATTTTTTGGAGGGGGCCCCAAACTCTAGTGGCCTATCTAACTCAATGATGCGTGGTCACTCTTACTTGACGAAAGCCTGGATCCGTCCCTGATTGAAGTGCAGTTGTGCAAATAACCATTAAGACGTTTACGCCTTGCTATATGCTATTTCAGAGCACTACATAATTATGGAAACTGAAATTTTATCCCCTGATTGTGCATCTAGGAGATCTCTAGTACCATAGCTCATCGCTAAACTCGATCATTGTTCATCCTTTCATCATTACCATGTAGCCTTAGGGCAAGAGTTGATTGCAATGATCACGGCAAGTCATGATGAAGTTCCCCCCCCCCCTCCCACTCTCCAGCACTTTGGTAGCACAGCCGCCCGACAGCGCAGCTTTCCTACTAGCCCATAAAGTTCATGTGTTAAAGGCCTGCTTTCACACTGCTCTGAACCGATGTTATGTCAATTTTGATTGACTCGACATCTATGGACGTCACTTTGTTTACTTTCGGGGGAACCTTGCCCCCCCCCCTCCGACGCTCACTCAAAACGCGCTCGGGTGGGGGGTCAAACTGACCCCCTGAAGGTTTCTCCAGAATTGTTTCTGAACGACGCGGCGTAGCCGCGCCAAATTTTGCATAGCTTTAGTCAATGAAGTAGCAGATCGTCTGACATCAACAAGTTAGATCTACCTTGTAAGGTTGCTGACCTATGGCAGGTCAAAGTGATGACATGGTTTTAGCGAATGTAGTTTCTACGGAATACTTCAATCTGATCCAACAATGAAACGTTAGACGAAGCCATACATCTCTGAGATGCTTTCTTAGGCGACACAACAATTAAATGAGCAAATTACGTTGACCTAAGGCCAGGTATAAAGGTTAGACCAGGGTCAAGATCAACCTGCTTTATTACTCTACGGCTTGCTGTATAGGGTAGCTTCTGGTCTTCATTTCGAATTTATTGATAACAGGAACCACATTATACAACTTCCACGGACTTCTTAAAGGTCGGAATAGAACACTGGCCTAGAATGACCTAAGTAAGCACTTCTTAAGGAACATACCGCCTAGCGCAATCTCCGTCGCTTACCCAGCTGTAAAGCTCAAAGCGGTCGAGGTCACTGACCTAAGATGAGAATGTGGTCTTTTGTTAAAAAGAGTTATCTAGGTTCCAGAGGCCCTTTGGAAAACAACCTGAAATTCGACTTTATTTGACCTTACTTGAGCGAAGGTCATAACCTAGAAATATCAAACTCTGGGCAAAGTCAGTTCACGGACAGGTCAATACATCCTGTAAATTTGGTGTTTCTAGCTCCCTTAGTTCCTGAGATCTCAATGGGGTCAAACTGACCTCCACCCGAGCGAACGGTATCCAATCGGCCACCCGGGCGCGTGTTAAGCCTCTCAATGGTCTTCCGAGACGCTCATTGCATATGAGCAAAAAAAGAGGAGATTTTGGCCAATGAGATGCAGCAAGTGCCTTTACTGCTGCTTCACTAGGTCCCAAACGCATCGCTATATCCACTATTATAATCATCATCATCAATGTCTGTATCATCATCAGATATCACCCTTGCTTCTGTTACACTGGCTTTAAATGGGAAGACGTGCCTCCATATCAAAACAATTAACAACCGACTGAATACTTTTTACGTTTAATTATGACTACGGGGATGCAACTTAAAGTCGCCGAAAACCGGACAGAACTTAAGCATACGCCCGAGAGGATTTTAGATTATCTAGCACACGCCCGGGAGGCCAGTTGAATATCTTTCACTCAGGTGGGTGTCATTTGGACTCCTTGATATCTAAAAAATGAGATAACCAGGGTAGGTTGACCGGTATATGAAAGCACACTTTCTTCAAAATTTGAGGTTCACGGGTTGTGGTATATGGCAGTTGTTTAGGGCGCCTACGCGCCAGGTAAGTGGATGGCGCGAGAGAGTTGGCCTTGGGTGGTAGCGCGTGGCGGGGGCGCGGCGTGTTCGGACGCCTCGGACGTTATATTATTGCTTTTGTTGTTTTCACCAAAGTATTGGGCAAATACTCACGGTAACACCTGACTTAGTGTTTGGGCGGACAGCAAGAGCCGACCGGATACTACACGGGTCATGACCTTGAGGTCATACGAGGTCAAACAAGGCCAAACTCCAAATTGGTGTCCGACGTGCCCCCAGACCTCCTCATGCCATCGCCTGTTCCAAGCGAAAGGTCAGCTGTGTTCAATCAAGGTTAGTGACCTTGCTTGACATTAGAAAGATCAATGTGACCAAAACCTACGAAATGGCTGCTATTTTGCTAATCAAACCAGCGTCAAGGATGACGCTTGGCAGCATGTTTCGGGAACAAAGTTTTTACCTAAATCTTATTACGTTAGTGACCTGCCCATCACTAAAAAATCCCCTGGAACATGACTGCTGCGGTCCCCGTCATTATTAGATTCGAAATGAACTTCAGAAACTATCCCAGTAGGCAGGCTCTCGAGTAAAAATGCAAGTTGCTTTTGACCTCGGTCTGACCTTCAGACCTGACGGTTGGTAGGTCAATGGAAATTGCTGTAATTATCAATTCCATTGGTTTATTGCCCAGGGAGCTATTTCAGAAACACGTGGCTTCGTCTAACACTCGGTTGTCGCAACAGAATGAAGAGTCACGATTGATCTTTCATTGAAGTCTGTGCACGTGCAGAACGCCGTGAATTTTCCGACTTTCGAAGCATATTCAATTATGAGAACATTGCGGCCCGCAGGCTGCAGAGCGAACCCATCGGAGACCACCGATGTACCCATCAGCGCATCGCAGCGTTTCGGTACGCCCTGGAAGCCTCCGAGGACGCGGGAGGGCTGCCCAACACGGCCGTACGGGGCGGCCGGTCGGCCACCCAGGCGGCCGGCGCGACGCGGACTCCTGTCAATCTAGCAGCAGATTGATATCCATTTGACAGTTGGATATTGCGGGGCGTCTCGATTGCCTTCAAATTTGGTGCACAGGGCCTTCTCAACACGCTGATTCCGAAAATCACTGCCTTTGGGGTGGAATTTTGCGTAATTTTCGAGTTATACGCTGCGTAACATCCCAATGTCATATTGCGCGGCGTCTCAATTGCCTCCAAATTTGGTGTGCAGGGCCTTCTCAACACGCTGATTCCGAAAATCACTGCCTTTGGAGTGGAATTTTGCGTAATTTCCGAATTATACGCTGTGTAGCATCCCAATGTGACGTTGCGGGGCGTCTCGATTGCCTGGAAATTTGGTGTGCAGGGCCTCCTCAGCACGCTGATTCCGAAAATCACTGCCTTTGGGGTGGAATTTTGCGGAATTTTCGAGCTATACGCTACGGAACATCCCAATGCGATACTGCGGGCGTCTCAATTGCCTCCAAATTTGGTGTGCAGGGCCTTCTCAACACGCTGATTCCGAAAATCACTGCCTTTGGAGTGGAACTTTGCGTAATTTTCGAGCTATACGCCACGTAGCATCCCAATTTGACATTGCGGGCGTCTCGATTGCCTCCAGATTTGGTGTGCAGGGCCTTCTCAACACGCTGATTCCGAAAGTCACTGTTTTTGGGGTGGAATTTTGCGTAATTTTTGAGTAATACGTATATACGCTGCGTAACATCCCAATGTGATATTGCGGGACGTCTCGATTGCCTCCAAATTTGGTGTGCAGGGCCTTCTCAACACGCTGATTCCGAAAATCACTGCCTTTGGGGTGGAGTTTTGCGTAATTTCCGAGTTATACGCCGCGTAACATCCCAATGTGATATTGCGGGGCGTGTAACTCTAATATGCGCAATATCCAACTGTTGTGTTGCGCGGCGTATAACTCGGAAATTACGCAAAAATCCACCCCAAAGACGGTGATTTTCGGAATAAGCGTGTTGAGAGGGCGCTACACACCAAATTTCAAGGCAATCGAGACGCCCCGCAGTATCACATTGGGATGTTACGTAGCATGTAACTCGAAAATTACGCAAAATTTCACCCCAAAGGCAGTGATTTTCGAATCAGCGTGTTGAGAACGCCCTGCACACCAAATCTGGAGGCATTCGAGACGCCCCGCAATATCACATTGGGATGTTACGTCGCGTATAACTCGAAAATTACGCAAAATTCCACCCCAAAGGCAGTGATTTTTGGAATCAGCGTGTTGAGAAGGCCCTGCACACCAAATTTGAAGGCAATCGAGACGCCCCGCAATATCCAACTGGAAATTGGATATCAATCTGCTGCTAGATTGATATCCAATTGCCAGTTGACATCCAATCTGCTGCTAGGTTGACAGGCGAGCGACGCGGACCTGCCAACGCGGTCAGCCGGAGCCGGCCGCCGGCAATCACCCCCGGCCGTTGTTGTGTTCCCTTCCCCGGTTCCGCACCACCTCTGCTACGACCCCTGGTTTCCCGCACATCCACCGACCGTACGGAACCGGCCACCCATTCCATGTCCGTTTCCTTTCCCCCCGCTAGTGATCGCCCCATCAAGAATGGCCCGGCCAGGTAAGGCCAACGAAAGGGCCGTCGCCGCCGCCGCCGCTGCCGCCGCCGCCGCCCGCGCTGCCGCCGCCGCCGCCGCCGCCGCCGCCGCCGCGCCGCGCTGCCGCCGCCGCC